CAACCACGTGTGTCGATGTTCATGCTGTTGATCACTGCATTGTCTGGTCCACTCGATTATTTACAGACCGCCGTCATATCAGCTGCGTCATATAGCTGAAATATTGCTGGAGTCCGGCGTTAAACAACTAACAAAACAAACCACACTCGAATGATTTACTTCCCGAACAGAATATATGAATTTTCCTCTGCCCTTTCTGCAAACATAGCAGCTGGTGGTCTTCGTATTTCGTGCTGTAAATAAGACAAGTCACGACAAAGGAAGCAGGATGAGCAAATGTTGAAACATGCAAAGTCTGTTCATTATTCTCATACGTTTCTTCGTCTGTGTTTTCTTGTCTATTCTATTTCAGAAAGACATACTGCTGGGTAATTATCGTTTCATATTATTGGCATGTAAAATATTTATCACGAATAATTGTAGTTCGATTTAGACTTCGTACCAATGATAACTGTAACGTTTCACTGTCAGTGCATTTCCTCATCAGTGGAAGATCAGGATGAAATTCGGGAATGTTTTCATGTACATTTTAAGAAATAGCAAGTACAAACAGTACCTTCTTAGGTGTATTATAGTACAGCTTTTTGTTTAATTTGGGAGATACTCCATTCGTAACTACTCGTTCCTTTCCGTAACCTGAAAGAAGACTCGTACCCCTCTCGTAGCCATTTTACTGAACTTGACTCTGTCTGAGCGCAACAGCGCATAGAGAAAGAAATAGTCCAGTCGCCGAACTATTTTCAAGGCATGTAAGTCTAGTTTACTTGGAAAACAAACATGGCATCCACGCCAAGGAAATTACCTCAAAGGGTGTGTTTAACATGCTTAAATACGTTTCTACGCCATAATGTTAATATATCCTGGCTGTAAAAATTCAGGAAAACCAGGGGGACTGTGCAATAATTAAAATATAATTGAAGTGTCTGGGAAAAAATTATGCAAGCCGAAATGAAAATTATTTCAACTAACTATTTTGTCTCATTTCTTCTCCACATACGCGCATTCTGATTGGCTGGGGGAATATTTCTCCCTACGACACTGGAGCTCGTCTTGCACCCTTCAAGAAATCATAAACTAAATGTTCTCACAATAGCAAAACGTACTTGTACATGTACAGATGCATTTCTCATAGTTAATAACCCACATAAGATCCGGATTATAAGTGGCAGAGCTACAGATAACGTGTTGGGTCATTGAGTTATGTACTCGCTTGTGGTCATGTCAATTGGGTATCCTAATTTTCCTTTGAGTAACCAAATAAATTGTACCCACCTCACTCAAACTCAATTGGGTATTTTGTCACTTTCCATTAATTGTTAAAAGATAATAAAGTTTTAAATGTTAGTGTTTGTTATTTATATTTGATCTGTAATATGAGAAACGATAAGAGAGGCTGCAAGTTGCCAAGTTCATGTCCTGAAATAGAACCTCTCAATACCTCAGTTATTGTATCTATCCACCGGTACGCAAGCTAAGATTTGACACTTTTGTGTGTACGCATGTAACATCACATCTATTGAGTATTTACAAAATTTCAAGCGTACTTGTATACAACGCAATAGACTGAATAGGAATTGAGTTTTCACATAAATATTTGAGTAATTTACGCAGATACGCAGCTTATCTCTACCTCTGAAGTGGTCTTCAGTAACCCATGCTTGTCGTAAGAGGCGACTAAAGGTATCGGTGCTCAGGCTTGCTGACTTGGTTGACACATGTCATCGTATCCGAATTGAATAGATCGATGCTCATGCTGTTGATCACCGGATTGTCTGGTCCAGACTCGATTATTTACAGACCACCAATATATAGCTGGAATATTGCTGAGTGTGGCGTTAAACAGCAACCAACTAATCATCTTCATTAACAGAGTATCTTTGTCTCCAGTACCACTTGCCAACGTCGACGACATCGTCCCTGTTGTTGCAGCTTACTCCATCATCCTCACTGTTGTCTCAGTTGTAGTTGGATGCACGACGTATGTACTGATATCTCCTTCATTGAAGTTGTACTTATAAAACCTGACTGTGTGGCAAGTGATGTTCCATATGTAGTCAGATGAACAACAACGGAAAACATATTGAACATGCACTCACAAACATGAACAAGGAAGTTGGCGTTATCGATTTAGTGTCCCCGTCAGACTGATCTTGTGATAATGATTTTGAGATTTTACGTGCGGGTCCGACATGATGCGTATTTCACACACGAGAGTAAACAAATAACTATGGGTGAGTGAGTGTAGTTTACGCCGCTTTTAGCAATATTCCAGCTTCAGCAGAAATGGACTTCGACGTGACGAGTGAACGCTTTAACCACTAGCTAACCCAACCGCCTACAAATAACTTAGACCATTTAAATAGTTGACGAGATTCACCAAACAGTTACTCTATCAGGAGTGGTATGCCACACATATCGGTGAAATCAAACTGCATTGGTGTTGTGAAAATCATTGCTTGTAACACGACATGTAGCGTTATCATTACCTTAAACAATTATACCACGACAAATTATAGTTTTGTTTTAGAAATATCACATTTATATATATTTTGATATATATTTTGAGTTGATAGTTTGCCAATTGATAATGTTTAATTACAGATGGTCATAACGTGAGGTATGTATATAATCGTTATAATGAAAACCATTTCAATAAGTTTCTTTAAAACATAATTTATTCAAAAGACGTAATTGTTTCACGATATGTCAAAGTGCATCGAAATCCAGTCTCTTTTACGCGTTTCCAGCATCCAGCAAACGGTGATTTCCCATTTTTGGCAGTCGGTTGTGCACTGGACCATGCAGGTGTTGTATCTCACTGCCAAAATTGGGACAACTGGTGAGACCAATTAAGATCAATTAGGCCTCGTAATGAGAAGGCGTTTCAAGGTCATTTAGCAGGTATGGCAGCGATATATGACTGTGTGGGGCGCTTCCTTTACCTTTCATGCTACAAAACACTAATATCCTGCTGTCTGTAGCGTAGTGTTTGATTGTCGCGCGACAAACATCCCACGAAGAAGGCCGGACCACTGATCCTTGCCGTCATCGCCGCGGTGTTGTTTACATTAATTAATGCGCGTTCCCCTTTGGCGCAACACAAAAGAGCTTTAAATGATGTTTGTAACATTCTTGTTCTTCCAAACACGGAATATCAATGAGAAATATCGGACTTTATTCTGTATGTGTTTTTTGATTTGTTTAAGTTTGAACGAGGAACTACTTTGTGCTGCTGATAACTGTAGTGATAGGGAATACGAATGAGCTGACGACTTTTGTAAAGGAGGCAATTGTGGCATGAAAATATAATAAATATATTATAAATATGATAAATAGACTACTTCATGCTGTTTATGTAATAAAGAGACGATTTCAGGATGTTTGTCAAACCTGAAGTGAAGATATGGCTTTCTGACTTCAATCGATGAGGTATCCATCGTATTTGACAAAATGTATGAAATACATTGTAGTCACTATTTGTCATCTGGAGACACACTGTGATGCATATGGACTTCGGTAAATGTGTTTTTATGTAACCATTTATATCATGCATGTTTTCTCAGCAAATGCGGTACATACCTAACTGTGTTAGGAGATAGACTATCAAGTGACGCAAATGATCATGAGTCTCCTTATGCGACCATCAACAACGAAGATATGTTGTCTCTGCACGATTATGAGAGGCTTCTAAGGGAACAGTTCCAAATCTACACGTCTCTCCACCCTTCAGCCTCCTCTACACAGGACCCTAGCACCAGATGCAGCCTTATGTGAGGGAACAGTTCCACATCTTCACAAATATCCATCCTTCAGCCTCCTCTTCTCAGGACCCTAGCGCCAGATGCAGCCTTATGTGAGGGAACAGTTCCAAATCTACACGTCTCTCCACCCTTCAGCCTCCTCTTCACAGGACCCTAGCACCAGATGCAGCCTTATGTGAGGGAACAGTTCCAAATCTACACGTCTCTCCACTCTTCAGCCTCCTCTACACAGGACCCTAGCACCAGATGCAGCCTTATGTGAGGGAACAGTTCCAAATCTACACGTCTCTCCACACTTCAGCCTCCTCTACACAGGACGCTAGCACCAGATGCAGCCTTATGTGAGGGAACAGTTCCAAATCTACACGTCTCTCCATCCTTCAGCCTCCTCTACACAGCACCCTAGCACCAGATGCAGCCTTATGTGAGGGAACAGTTCCAAATCTACACGTCTCTCCATCCTTCAGCCTCCTCTACACAGCACCCTAGCACCAGATGCAGCCTTATGTGAGGGAACAGTTCCACATCTTCACAAATATCCATCCTTCAGCCTCCTCTACACAGGACCCTAGCGCCAGATGCAGCCTTATGTGAGGGAACATTTCCACATCTTCACAAATATCCACCCTTCAGACTCCTCTTCTCAGGACCCTAGCGCCAGATGCAGCCTTTTGTTAGGGAACAGTTCCACAGCTACACGTCTGTCCACCCTTCAGCCTCCTCTACGCAAGAGCCTAGCACCAAATGCATCCTTATGTGATGGAACAGTTCCACATCTACACGTCACTCCATCCTTCAGTCTCTCCTCTAAAGAACCACAGTACAAAGTCCACCTTTATGTGATAAATCATACCTAAACGTCCCTCCATCCCACATCTACAAACACAATACTGTGTGAAAGGACAACCAAAGTGAAACGTTTACCCCGGTGTGCGACGCAAGTACAGACTGTACACCGCACCTAGTACAGTGGTTATAATCTTCATCGCGTGATTAAAATAAAGTAATATGTGATTACATATGCAGTGTTATTGTTTTTCATTCAAAACAAGATAGGAAACATAAGAATATTATTAGCTCTTACGTCAGCCAAAAAGACAAAGAGCGACAACACCCTACCCCCACCATCCCCCCTCCCCCTCACACACCCACAAGTGCGGGCGCGCACGCACACACACACACACAACACAAACACTCACATACAAAGCCAACAGGAATTTCAATCTTAACACAGAACACTTGTGAGCAACACTCGTCTTTATTTCAAATTAATTTCTACAGGCTGTTACAAAGCATTGGTGGAAGCAAACACCTTAATACGTTAAGTCTGAGTTAAATATCCTTGAATAACAAACGAAGAGGGAGCTGAAAAGAAAATGTAAAGCAAACACTGAATTAGTTACAATTATATTGTATCTTTATCGTTATTTTGTCATGTCATTTCATTCCTTCCAAACAGAATAATCTCAATCCAATCTCAAATTCCGAATGTCCCATATTTGTTTTCTGTTTGGAGTTTAGAAAACGTTGGCTTCGAAACTGGATACCTAATGCAGATTCGTTTGATAAATCCTGGCCATAAAATGATCGAGGAAAGCTCACAGATGTAACTTGAAAAACGAAAGAAAAGTACAGAATAACAACTGTAAAACGAGACTAACACCTATTCTACTAAGCAATTGTAAAGGCATGGTAAACATTAAGATAAATCAAACGATTCAAAGAGTGGAAATATCTAAAACCTTTGAAAACACAATTTTCACGTTCCTCTTAATATTAATGCTTTTTTGTTGAATGTATGGTGCATGGCAAACAATGTAAACTGTATGTTAATAATCATTATGTTATCAAATGTAACGTCACAATACAGGTACATTTCTTTTGATAAACATGCAAATGAAAATCACACAAGGAATCTTAACTGTCTCTATTCAAGTTTCCCATTAAATCATTTCTGAATTAAATTGCGTTTTCATAGTGTTCCAGATTATATAAAATGCAAACACACACCACACAATATAAAATCACAGGAAAGCATTTACATCAATATACTAAAAAACAAACAAAAATTTTTGGAGTTTTTTTCTCGACCGCGATATATATCAGGTTTGTTTTATGATTATCCAAACCAAGCAATTTCTTATACGTATTTGATTGGCCTTTTAATAAATGCAGTTCCCTTTGGCGATTTAAGCAATAGGTTGAAAACTGGGGATCGCGTATCTATAGATCATCACATAAGAAACACAGACAATTATTGTCCAAATGGAGACAATATTATTGAGTGAATAAGGAATTACATATCTTACTGTTGCAGCAAAACACAAATGCGCGAATGATTTGTTATAAAACATGCCCAACAAAGGTATTCTGATATGACAGACATCTATGTTCATTTTGGGTATTCTGATATGACAGATACCTATGATCATTTTGCTTGCTAGTAATCTCTATGCATTACAAACAAGCAATGTAACTTTGATGCTGCTAACTACCACTATCTACCTTTCTTTCCCGCTTCCATTAGAAACACAATTTTCCGGTCTTGAAGAAAATACTTCATGTAGTAGATCTTGAAAGCTAACATTCAATGCCTACAAAAGCATATGGCCTTCTGACCTTTACCATCAATTCAGCAATTACAAACATAGCACAGTGCAAAAAGTTCAAAAGTATATTGAAGTCTTTCGGTGTGACATTGCAAGTTATCCCGTATCGATTCAAGGTTAATCACTGAAAATAGTTTCACATTGTATTAATACGAAATGAAAATTACCAATATGGCAGTTTTGAAATATGGCAGTGATGATTGCTGTGACCTTGAAGTTCATCGGTGGTAATCGATATTCTTCTGAAAATAGGACCCGACATAGCAAACCAAGATATAATGTTAACTGGGGGTTTGGGAGGTCCACGTGACACTTTTGTTGTTTGTTGTTTGACACTTTACTGAACAACATTCCCGCTGCATGACTGAGTCTGCACCAGACAATCCAGTGATTGATATAAAGAACATCGATCCACGCAGTTGGTACACTATGACACGTGTCAACCAAGGCAAGCCTGATCCCGCAGCTCCCCTCTAACGACAAACGTGGGTTGCTGAAGACCGTTTCTAACTCGGAACATAAGTTATAAGTAGTTGACACCTGACACCTATACCTTCAATAAAAACCAATATTACTTGTTTTAGTAATCGATGGTGTGACCAATATGAAGTATCCTTATCTAACTCATTATACCGTCTGAATGACATATTGCTGAAGTCACTAAATAATCGACTGACCTTCAAAGTGGCCTGGACATGCAACACCAATCATGATTCATCGTAAGTGCTGAATATCTAATTTACAGCCAATCAACTAACTGGAAATGTTTATGAAATTTCATGAAATGAGACCCACGTTTCAAATTATGACCTGCTGATACATGACATTTGCAGGTTAATAGCTGCAACCCATCCTCTAACAGAGATGTAGTGACCGGTATAATTGTGACTGTGGTGTCTGGTTTCCCGATGAAATCTACCGAATAGTGGACAGATTTCAACATCTCAGAAGATAATCCTTCTACAGTCAAGGCAGCAGGACCATCAGCCCTCTCAACCCACCAGCCATCAGAATCAGTTTGACTAAATCCATACTCGCTCGACCAAACATAGACGAAAAACACAAACACTCTCAGGGGCTCTAAAAACCCACCGTCACAAACTTTGACAAACAGTGATTCAGGATATGACATACCATCTCAAGCCATAGCTTCATTATATTTATTATCCTATGAGTATACTTATCGGCACATATTCATACATATATCCTAACTAGGTTGTAATCTTTTTAACTTAATAACTGGGTACGAATCTACGTCGAACGGTCGATATAAGCAGAAGTCTTCAAAGTTCTAAGTACCACCACGTTTTCGCGAACATTTTATATCATCAGTTTGTGACAGTGATTCAAAGACAAAAATAGACAATATAACATGTCATTGCCAAAAAATGATAAGTCTATACGATCTGTAGAAACAGATACTATTTGGAGTTACGTACACAAGCATAGTAGGGCCACATGTGATTTTTTTTAGTCTCATTATCTCCTACGTAGGAGATACTAAATCCTACGTGGGAGATATTATGTCCTACGTAGGAGATAGTGAGACCATTCTTCTTTTACCGTGGCCCTGCTACGCTTCCGTAGTTAAAGAGAATAACAAGGGGAAAAAATTGATAGGAAAAATTAATGATAATGAGTGATGACATCAAATGGTTGACGAAACAGGTTATCATGTGATTTCGGGGTTAGCACCAATCATTTGCATGTAGAAGTAAGTGTATGTTGCCAATTGCCCCAAAGCAGTGGGATCTAACTTGTCCGAATGAAGTGCATCCGTACACCTTTGTTGGTCTGCAAGAAAACGGAAAGATGTATGCACCATATGTAATGTGACTTGTATGTCATAACGATGTACCAGCACAGAATGTTAACAAAACTTCAGTAATGAAAATGGACAAGAAAATATTCAGACAATCACAATATGTGTCATAATCTGTGACACTACAGACTTGAATTTGAAAGGCGTTTGTATAAACACTATATTTGAAACAAAATTTCCAAAAATCTGGAGGCAGATGAATCAACAATGTCATTATTAATGTCATGCATTTCCCTACTGATCATCGCAGCGAATAGCTGCAATATTGCTAATACGGCGCTAAGCAATACTCACTCACTCACTCACTCACTCACTCACTCACTCACTCACTCACTCACTCACTCACTCACTGATATCAGGGACGTGAGCACGAGTATGTTGCTGACAAACATACACATACATGTTGCTGAGAAATACACACGGGACAACATACCATCACGGGACTGACCTACCATCACAGATGCTTGGACATGCTAAAGGGATGCAACTCTGCATAGCGAATTATGGCTAATGGGTCGCCAGTGCGACAAGCCTAACTTTACACTAACATCAAGTACTTTCATGATTTAACTCTAGGAAACAAAATACTCTAGATACAAAATGCATCTGAAAGAAGCAATAACTACCTGGTCAAGTTTATTTATCCTCTTGTTGCTTCAGGCCATTGGGTACCTTACCATTTGCCACTGTAACTATTACAGAAAAACTCATGTATGATTTTACACTTTGCATTTATTTTGTAGAACTGAAAAACACCTGATTTTCTTTACCACCAGAATTTATCATTAGAATGATATACACCCGAATCATGTTTTCACATAATGATCATGCCTTTCACACTTGTATGTGAGTGAGTGAGTGAGTTTAGTTTTACGCCGCACTCAGCGATATTCCAGCTATATGGCGGCGGTCTGTAAATAATCGAGTCTGGACAAGACAATCCAGTGATCAACAGCATGAGCATCGATCTGCGCAATTGGGAACCGATGACATGTGTCAACCAAGTCAGCGAAACTGACCACCCGATCCCGTCAGTCGCCTCTTACGAAAAGATAGTCGCCTTGTTATGGCAAGCACATGGGTTGCTGAAGACCTATTCTACCCCGGATCTTCACGGGTCACACACTTAATGTCCTTAAAATCGAAGCACACAACGACCTGTGATGACACGTGATGACTAACTACCTTCAGTCAAGACCTTCTAAACGAAACGAGAACCAACCTGGTGGCTTGATTTCCTGTTCCAATAGTTCGTGTGATTCGCTAACTGGTTTCTCTGTAAATAATTAAGAGCAATCAAGGTATAATTTTAAACTTAGTAAGTTGTAAAACTGTATAATAAACACTTGGTTCACCTTTGACCATCATACATACATCCCGGAATCATGATTCCACAGAACATTTACACCTTTCATACTTCTATGTCCAAATGTTCTCACAATCAATAGCTTCAGGCTTTTGAAAATCTCTCATGTAAATATCCACTCTTAAACGAAATAATCGAATTGTATAACGATCTTCCTACTGGCCAATACGACATCGTCCTCTGTTGGTTACCAGGCCATGTTGGAGTTTTTATAACACAATCGCCGATACTGCTGCTAAGGCAGCACTCAACAAATCTGTGACACCACTTCTTATGCCATACTCTGATTACAGATCAATGATTAGATATTACATCTGTGATCTAATGCAAATAAAGTGGGGCATCCAAGTAGGTATAAATATATTACATCAAATAAAACCAACAACTTGTTACACCTACTTGGTTTGTCAGTCGAGATTTCAAGAGGCCATTATGCGACGATGTCGCATTGGCAACAGCAGGTATACTCATGAATATTTAATGAAAGGTGAAGATCCTCCGTTTTGAATCCCTTGTGATGAAAGATCAACGGTCAAGCATGTCCTGCTTGACTCAGAGACCATATAATAGATATGGTCTCTGCTTGACTGTATTGATTTTTTACATTACAAGGGATAAATATTTCAATATCAAAACGGTAACTGATCTTGTTTTATCAGGTTCATTCTCATTTAATACTTTTTAAAAAAAAGAAATCGAACTAATTGATAAATTTGATGTTGAATTGTCAGTGGTAAATGCATTTTAATTGGTTGGAATGAAGAAATAACTTTGACTGTTAGTGGCAATACCTTCAAAGGTGGTTGAAGTAGCGTACAATTATCGTCCCCCTAAGAGGATATGTAAGTCCAGCTTCATTCAAGATAATTTTCATACTACGTGTTTTAATCGCAGAATACATGTTCTTCTGATCTTTGGTTAAATTTGAGTACAATCGCCAACGGCTGAAAGAAAGATGTAAATCCAGCTAGGGTCCATGAAGGTAGTAATGTAAGTCCCCACGGTCCTTAGTATCATGGTTATCGTTCTTCAGTTGCTGGCGACCTATAGCTTGTGTTTGATATTGTATCGTTCTGATAGAAATAACATTTTAAAGATGAATGCTAGTTTTAAGTTCTGTTTCTGTGATATGCTAGTGGATTTTTTCTGTCCTCCGTTAACAGTTTGTTTTATAATCTCAGTGTATTCATCATGCCTGTTGTTGTACAAAGTCACGATATGGCTGAAATACTGTCTCACTCACTTACTCTTCTAATCGAAGCGCACGATCACCAGTTAATATTCCAGGACACTTCCCTGCAGAAAGGCTTTTAAATAGATTGAATATCAGACATCAGATGGCTGTACTAGTCTGATACAAGTTTTTATTGTGACAACTGGAAGAGGTCAAACCATGGGTCATACAATTAGAACCACACTAATATACTGGCCAGATAACGGGAGTTTGAATGATGCCACAGGCTAACCAAATTAACCTTATTTCAAGAGTGTTTAGCTATTAACATACACAAATGGTTACCTTCTGAGCGAACATTCTGATTTTCACCAGTGGATTTGCGTTTCTTCCTGATAACCACAAAAGCAACAACGACGGCGACGACGGCGATGACGGCGATGACAACAGGGACAACAACGGCAGGGTTAGCAGTCCCCGGAGAGTCTGCCAGATTATACACAAAAAATAACAGAAACATATACCAGTTATCACATCTTACAACTTATCCATGTATTCAGTTTTAAATTCAATTTACCATGGCTAAACTTTAAATCTATGTTTAGCCACGAGATACCATTTTGTTGAGACAGAATATATGGGTAAACCATTGTTGTTCAAGATTCTGTACGTTTTGTGGCAAATACCAGATCTTATTTTATAAAATAATAATTTCCCCACACCATATTTCAGGCTATATCAACGGGAAATTCGGAGAAATTCCTTGGGTTTTAACATAAAGCTGCTTGTAATATATAAACTATATCATTACTAACCAGAGACAGGAGGGTGTTCTTCTTCACCTTAAAAATTGAAACGATAGGTTGAAGCTATATCAAGCAAGGCGTGATTGTTAGGAATGCTACAGGTATATATATAATTCTCCAAATCGTTCATACTTTGCAATTTTTAGCAAGCAATAGTTTCGCAAACGTTCATAATATGAATAGATTTATTGTGCATTCCAAAGTAAATGAAACATTACAACGCTACTACAAATGCAGTCGAACACCGATGTCTCGATATTTACGGGACCAGGAAAATATATCGACTTATCCGAATTGGGAATATCATCACATACCAACATGAAAGAAAACAAAAGAAAACAGTAGATTGCATGTCTATTATTAATTTGTCCTCACAGAGATCGCAAATACACAGAAATCCGAAAGTTTTAACCGACGTGCATTTGGTGCTGGCATGAACGCAATACTGGTCAACCATTCTTGATACATTACAAGTCCTTGTGTCATTCGACCTCCATCTCTCGATTCCACAAATCGTGTCAGGACGTCAATTGACTCCTAATCCGCATTTCTCAGTCGGCAATTTAGTAACAACTCAACAATCAATTGCTTGTCACGTGATGACACAAGTCCCTGATTAGATTCTCACTATGTTTAGATTCGAGACTATAATCCGTTATCAGGGGTGTTGAAATTGGGAGTACATCCTAGTTAGATAAACAAACAAGTGACACCTACAACTCAATTAGCCTTAATTAGCTTACACTACCGCTACCTTTGATTCATGCCGCCGCGTGTGCGTAAACACATGGAGACAGTCACAGTTCAGATGGATACTTGTGCCAGAAAGGTAGATGTATATCGACTTTACTTGCAAATATCGAGTTAAAAGGGTAATTTTGCTTGTCGGGACCATGAAATCATATTTAGATACCCGAAATATCGAGACATGCGTATCGATTTAAAAGGGTTCAAATAATGATAAATAATGAAGGATTTTGCCGGGACCAAGAAATTATATCGAGACAACCGAGATATCGAGTTATCAGAGTTCGACACAAAGGTGTTCGACTGTAGGCACATTCTTTGTATGACATACTAGTTTATTCACAAGGTTCGTTGTATTATGGACCTATCATAGTTATCAATATTTTATTACATATTTTGCAATTTGAAGTGGTATTATTGAAATTTAACACAATTGTTTCTACTACTTCATGTTTCGGCAAGCGTAAGGAGAGGAACTGCCATAGTACTCTAGTATATTTACTATCATTTTTGTATGTCATTAGTCAACATGTTGAAGAACATGCTCATCAGAACTAATATTATTTTCAGAGTGATTCTCTCACATTATATAATTCGAATTAGTCTTTACTTAACTGTGAAAAATATTGTTTAACATTCGTTCCCATGAGCACAGACATGTATTAACTGTATTTAGAAGTGGATATCTGAGTAAGGCAAATGTCTTTAGTAACCATTCCTTCATTTGTAAACACTGTAATGTAGTGCTGAATGATATTTATGGATTGTATGATTGTGTGTGTTTTGTTACAGAGAGAGGGGGTAGGAGAGAGATGGTTGCAGAGAGAGAGAGGTTGGAGAGAGAGGTTGGAGAGAGAGAGGGTAGGAGAGAGAGGGTAGGAGAGAGGGTAAGAGAAAGAGAGAGAGGGTAAGAGAGAGAGAGGGGAGAGAGAGGGTAAGAGAGAGAGAGGGTGGGAGAGAGGGTAGGAGAGAGAGGGTCGGGGAGGGAGGGAGAGAGAGAGGGTAGGAGAGAGAGAGGGTGGGAGGGAGAGGGTCTGGGAGAGAGAGAGGAGCAGGGGGCAGGAGGAGAGAGGGTAGGAGAGAGGGTAAGAGAAAGAGAGACAGAGGGTGGGAGAGAGGGTGGGAGAGAGAGGGTAGGAGAGAGAGAGAGGGTGGGAGAGAGAGGGTTGGAGAGAGAGAGAAGGTGGGAGAGAGAGATCGTTTCATCCTAAATTGTAGTAGAGGTAATCATAATAATGTTTGAAACCTGTGTCAATCAAATAATAACATCTTTCTGTTAAATCTTGTGAAATTTCTTAACGTGTATTTAAATGTATAAAAGAAAATAAAGTAGCTCTGTAGATTTTTTTGTTATATTATTTGTACTTTAGGTCATAAGGCCTTTCTACAAATAAACATTTTGAATCTTGAATTTTGAATACTTACTGAAAGTGGGTCACCATGATCTACGCCTGTTAGAAGACTGATTGACAATGTGTCAATCGGGAGTATTCAAAACAGATAAGTACACAAGAAATTTCCATTAGTTGCATAAAAAAAAAAGTTGATCAAGTGGGGATCAACTTTTTCGATCTTCGAGTGGGGATCACATGGTTCGATCTTCGAGTGGGGATCACGTGGTTCGATCTTCGAGTGGGGATCACATGGTTCGATCTTCAAGTGGGGATCACATGGTTCGATCTTCATAGGGGAGATTTGCGGTTGTATTATGTTTATACAACCCTGTCACAACGTTTATTGAGCATGTACAGCTTTGGTCAGATGTAAGATTGTATGCATGTTATATTGTTATTTGGGATATAGGTGATGTGCCCACCTCACTCCCTCTCCCTCCCTTCCCCCCCCTCTCTCTCTCTCTCTCTCTCTCTCTCTCTATGAGTGCGGCGTAAAACTAAACTCACTCACTCACTCACTCACTCTCTCTCTCTCGCTCTCTCTCTCCCTCCTCTCTCTCGCTCTCCTGTTATGGAACCAATGGACAGAATGCTACTGGATGTAGACAGGTAGTTTCAATTCGGGCCTTATTTGTACATTGTATACCATCCATACAAGATCACCCAGGTGTATTGCATTGTCGTACTTACCAGATCTAGTAGACCGTTCAACCTCATCTATGAATAAAAGTTTGAATTTATGTCAAGTAGGGCATTATTATCAGCAATTCCTAATTAAAAAATGCATTTTCCAAATATTTTTTCTTTGCATGCTAACTATATCTAAAGAGTTCTAATTACGCATTCAAAAGTATATCGAATAGAACTATATTACTGCAATTACATAAATTCCTTTTAAGGACATGTTTACGGTATATACTTGTTTTAAGTTAGATTTTCACTTTCAGTGATTCCCAACGGTCAGTATCATATATTATAGCTAAAATACATGGCATTATCATGAAACGGCCCTCCCATTATCAGATTATTTGATGACCTGTAATCGCACTTAACGCCTCTTGTTGTGTAGAGAAAACTAGGAAATATCACATGCTTGACTGCTTTTATCAAACTTGACAAAGTGTCCTGCCGGTAGTACTGAATCAGCCTGACATCCTTTCGATGTGAATTATCTGATTATATTCAATATGTGCATGAGTGTGGAAACGATAACTGCATCCTAACAGATTCTTTATTTCAAATGTTACTACTGTATTTGTATTCCACTCACATTTTGTTCAACATTGTTGCAATATAAATAAATGAAAGAAGAGTCTATCCTTTGACCCTTTCACTCTTCTTGAGGAAAGCCAAAACAGTGTCACCAAGTGACAAAACATCATCCACACTTCCAAATCAAAGACACATGTTTGTACTTCTCTTTATACAACACAATAACATGTCCAGCCAGTTCTCGGGTTACCCTCAATGCCATATTGAAATGTTATGGCACTTTTCGCCGTATCTTGTTTCACGTACCCGATTGTATCTTTGTTCCGTTGTATCCTGCAACCGTAAAAGAAAGAAGACCCTTGAACTATCAGAAACAGCAATGTTAAAGACTATGTGTATTGGAACCAGATGTCATGTCATGGAGGCAATATAAACAATAGCGTTTACTAGGGATTCCCGATGTGCCAGGTTTTGTGGACAAAGATGGTTAAAACGGGATACGGAGAAAACGGATCCCAGCGAAATCGGCCAAAAACAATAATCGAGAAAACGGCTGCCGCTCACGAGAAAACGACCCCCACTGCTAGAGAAAACGGCCCCTAAGCCTAGAGAAAAAGGTCATTATAAATAACAGAAAACTACATGTAGTGTATGTTCTTTTTATTCATCTCTCATTCAATGTCATAATACAATAACAGTGATACTTGTCATATTCTGTTCTTTCTGTGATTTAAAAGTTTACATACCGTTGACTGGTCCTGGGATATTCCTCTCTATCAGTCACAGGCGGATCCAGAGGTCCACACCCCTGCTACAACACCACCACCACCACCCACCCACCCCCCCACCCCCACCCTTTGTCCTGAAAGTTTATTAAATGACCATTGAAACTCTCCTGAATATGAAGTCTGCAACCACCCCCACCCCACCTTTCTCAATAGTGTGCACCCCTCCTTTCTCAAAAAGCTGTATCCGCCCCAGTCATTTTATAGATATTGATGGCTTGTTCACCGCACTTCAGATTTAATCGCCTGTGCCAATCTAAAAATACAAAGGAGACATTAAATACTCCTGAAATATCCAAACTGAAACAAAGGTTTATATTCAGTGTTTATTGATTCTACCAAGTGTTTAAGACCCGGGGTCGAATAGGTCCACAGCAACCAATTGCTGGTCGTAAGAGGCGACCAAATTGGGCAACCCGTTTGCCGTGGGTTGCATCCCTGTGTCGGCAGAGGAAGGGAGTCTGGTGGTTGCGGATGACGGAACCGGCAATAGTGTTCAATAATCCAACACACCACTTCGACCCTAACTTTGCCTAGACGGGTGGTAGAAAAGGCCCGATTCTACCAATCGGCTGGTCACGCCTTGCCCTGTGCATGGAATGTCCATACAAAATTTGGTATTACATAACACTTTTGGCCATGTTCAAAATGTAAACTTATATCCTACCAAAACAAATTAGCCTCGCAGACCCATGCACAGAAGGTGGTGGCTCATGGGCCAATCTGGTGATGCTGACTTCCGACTTCTGTACGTCTCCAATTGATTGTCATGGACAGAACCATCCTGACCTTTAATCTGGTAGGCAACTACAGCATTTCATGTCAAATTCGCTGGAGTATAACACCCCCTTATCCCTGGTCTTTGCAGCTTGGAGATCCGCTGCAATATAAGATCGTCCTTGTTGACAATCCACGGTGGGTGGGGAGAGGGGATGCTGAACCACATTACTCACGACATGGCTTCCCAATACCCCGGTTCAAAACGAAGACACATGGATACCGACAACTCCTCGTCTGACGAGAGTACGCCCCTCCGACCTGACTACTGGCCACGCTTCCTGATCATTGAGGCTTGTGACAAGCAACCTTTGCAATTAAATCCTTTTGCAGTCTCCAAAGGTATCGCTGGTATCTGCGGAGAGGTTGCCAATGTTACTAAGGAAGTGAAGTGCACAAACTGCGGTGGTAACCATATGGCCTCTTCCAAGTTTTGCCCAGTGTGGAAACGCGAATCCGAGATCCTAAAGATCAAGCACAAAGAAAATATCTCCTTTCATGAAGCAAAGAAGAGGGTTGCAATTATAACTACAGCCCCTTCAACCATCACCTACTCTTCTGCTGTCTCCCGTCCTTCTATCGCTGCTGCAACCATCTCATGTCAGACCAACCTGACATGGATCATGTCATCTCAGCCAACTCAACTCAACACAACTGAGCCCATCTCAGCCACTCCATCTCCAACGCCAAAAGTCAAAACCTCTGAATCACGAACACCAGAACAAATGCCAAAACCAGAAACAGAAACTGCGCGCACAAAAAGGGAAAAAAAGAGTCTAGAGAGACTAAAGCAACTTGAACAACCGCCAAACACAAAACCAAAGGCCACCTCTCCCTCAGAGGTCCCCATCGAGGTCCATAACTCCTTTGGCCCTCTGGATATGGAGGTAACTCCATCTCCACCAGACACAAATAGGAGTTCATCAAACGCTTTCTCACGTTCACGTGACATGTCACCAGTGGAAGCAACATGAATCCACAAAACATGATCAAATGGAATTGCAGAGGACTTAAGAATAATTAGAATGAATTACAGTTATTGATTCAAGACTTTAAACCATCCACGTTTTGTCTCCAAGAAACCTACCTAAAAAGGACTGATAAATTTGACATCCGTCGGTACAGTTCCTACCACTCCTTTTCTCCTCCAGGTGTAAAAGCTACAGGAGGCACTTCTATCCTGGTGAGGCAGGGCATCCTCCATAGCCCTGTTCCACTTAACGCCAACCTACAAACTGTTGCTGTCCGCATAACTCTGAACATAGGGTTTACACTATGTTCCCTCTATCTCCCTCCCACCTCAACTGTCCGCCTATCAGATCTTCAGAACTTATACGATCAACTCCCAAAGCCCTGCATCATCATGGGCGACCTCAACGGCCATAACCCCTTTTGGGGGAGTACTGATACAAATAGTAAGGGAAAGGTCCTTGAAGAGTTTCTCTCCAATGATGATGTATGCATCTTCAACGATGGATCAAACACCTACCTCCATCCTGCCACTGGATCATACTCTGCTCTCGATCTATCACTTACAGATTCTAATCTTTTAAATGAGTTTGAATGGTCGGTCCATGACGACCTTTGTGGAAGCGACCACTTCCCAACAATTCTTACTCCTATCAACCCCACGGATGAACCACCATCAACAAGATGGAATTTTACTAAGGCCAACTGGCCTTTATTCCAAACCCTATGTTCAGAAAAACTTAAGCCAGACAACTTCAGGAATGTTCCTGACCCCATGGAACTATTTTCAGACGTTCTAAATGCCATCGGAGACAAAACTTTTCCTAAGTCCTCTGCAAACCCGCACATACGCAAACCATGGTTTGATACAAACTGCAAACAAGCTAGGGAAAATAGGAAGAAGGCGGAAAAATATTTCCGACAACATCCTACAGTGCATAACCTGAATGCTGTTAAAATGACAAATGCCAGGGCAAAACGTACCTTCAAACAAACTAAACGCCGGTCATGGAGGAAATATGTGTCAAAAATCAACTCCCGCACACCCATGTCCAAGGTGTGGAACATGATCCAAAAGATTAAGGGCAAAGGGTCAAAATCAGGAGTTCACCACCTTAAAGATGGTGACTCTCTCCTAACAAATAAATCTGAACTTGGCGAAACTTTGGCAAACCACTCCTCCTCATCAAATTATAACCCTCAGTTCCAGAAATACCAAACCCAACAAGAAAAGAAATCAGTCAGTTTTAACTCTGATAATGGGGAGGATTAAAACGAAACGTTTTCCCTCCACGGATTACGTACTGCCCTAGGACAGGCTCACGACACTGCGGCAGGAGCTGATAAAATCCATTATCAGCTTCTGAAACACCTCCCTGACTCAGGCTTGGAAACACTACAAAATATATTTGATGACATCTGGACACTTTCCCCCTTCGTGGCACAATGCCATTATCATCCCTATACCAATACCCAGCCGCGATCATACTAATCCCTCACACTACCGTCCTATATCCCTAACTAGCTGCGTTTGCAAAACCATGATCAACAATCGATTAATCTCGTACTTGGAGACCAATAATCTCCTCAGTGACCTCCAATGTGGTTTCCGAAAAAACCGAAGTACCATTGACCATCTGGTGCGTCTCGAATCATTCATAAAAAACTCCATCAACAAACAACATACCGTATCTATCTTTTCGACTTAGAAAAAGCATATGATACAACGTGGAAACATGGTATCCTAAAAGATTTACACGAGTTTGGATTGAGGGGTACTCTACCTCCGTTCATATCTCACTTTTTAAATAACAGTCAATTTCAAGTTCGGGTGGGTTCCACACTGTCTGACTATTTCCACCAAGATCAGGGCGTCCCCCAAGGCAGCATCCTGTCTGTCACACTTTTTAGCATCAAATTAACAGCCTCACTAACGTTCTGAACAGTTGCGTTGATGGGTCCCTTTTCGTGGATGACTTCAATATTTCATGTCGTGGTAAGAACATGCACGCAACAGAAAGGCAGCTACAACTCTGCCTTAACATAATCCAAAAATGGGCCAATGAAAATGGTTTTAAATTTTCAAAATCCAAAACAAATTGTATTCACTTTTGTCGTAAATACAAACCACAGAAGGATCCAGACCTAACTTTAGATGGTACTCCCATCAAGGTAGTAGAAGAGGCCAAATTCCTCGGACTCATATTCGACCGCCACCTGACATTCTTACCACACATAAAATATTTGAAAACAAAGTGCTTGAAGGCTCTAGACTTGCTAAAAGTAGTCTCAAATACAGAGTGGGGAGGGGATCAGACCACCCTCCTTCACTTGTACAGATCATTAGTTCGCAGTAAACTAGATTATGGCTCCATTGTCTACGGTGGAGCCTGCAAAAGCAATTTAGAAAAATAAGACTCTATCCACCACCAAGGGCTGAGGTTCTGCCTGGGAGCTTTTAGGACCTCTCCGGTAGACAGTCTATATGCGGAGGCCAATGAACCTTCCCTTGAACAACGCCTCATTAAACTCTCACTGCAGTATATCACTAAATTATGTTCAAATGAGTCCAATCCAGCATACAATTGTGTTTTCAACCCGCTCTATGAAAACTTATTTCCTAAACTGCCAAGCCTGGTTCCACCACTTGGAATCAGGATCAAACCACACATATCTGCTGCTAAAATTGATCTCAACATCATTGCACCATACCGACTTCTGACCTCACCGCCATGGCAAATGGTAAAACCACAGGTCGATCTTACCCTCACCAAACTCAAAAAGTCTGAAACAAATCCCTTG